ATTACATTCATTTCCAACCATTTGTGAAATCCACACATGAGAAAATCAAGTCGAAAAAAGTAACTGTCTAACCTCTGATGCCCAATTAAGCTTGCCAATATCATCTTGTAGCTTTAGGAAAATATAACTTTGCCTTGGGTACCTATGAGAATCCATTTTTAATAATTTCAGCCAAAATTTTATTACTCGTAATCTGGTGAGTACAAATATATTGCGACGACCAGTTTCCCCTAATACAGCCTTATTTGAACCATACTTTCCCAAATTTAGGAAGCATTTAAAATATGATGCATGAACCTTTTCTATACAATGAAAATATTTAGTTCCCCGGATTTCGGACCCATATAAAAGAATCGGTAAAATCTTACAATCAAAGATGGTACAGGCAGTTTTGAAAGAAATAACAGAATTCTTTTTGAATAAATGATATACAGATTGCATAGCCTTTGATGCTTGAACAGATAAACGTTTACAGGCTGTTGACCAATTTAGTCTGGATGAGAATATTAAACCCAAATATTTATAATACGAAACACATTTCAGCCTTGTATTACCATAATACCATACCTCTTCCTTTTTTAACACACCTCCATTTCTAAACACCATAATATTAGTTTTCTCAATATTAACACGCAAACCCCAAGTAATACAAAATTGATGCAAAACGTTAAGTTGTTGCTGTAAACCATTAACTGTATAGGAAAACATATTTACATCATCAGCAAAAAGTAACATCATAATATCATCAATGTCCTGAGATATAAACACACCATGTTTACAGGATTTATACATTTCTGCAACAAGTTCATTTATAAAAAAGATAAAAAGAATTGGGCTTAAAATGCAGCCTTGACGTACTCCAGAACTTGTTGAGAACATATCAGTTTTACAATTACCAATCTTTACACAAGATTTTACAGATGAATACATATTATGAAGAAGATTGTATAATTTACCATGGCAACCTGACTTAAGTATCAAATATAGAAGTTTGGCTCTATCAACATAGTCGAAGGCCTTTTTAAAATCTATAAAAGCACAGAAAAATCGCCCCTTAGGCTTAGAAAAATATTTGGAACATAAAGTCGGAAGGGTAAATATATTATCTGTAGTAGCATATCCGGGCCTGAAACCAGCTTGTGCTTCTGTTAAAACATCATTCAAGCCTATCCACAGACGGAGGCGTTTATCTAGTATTGATGTAAATATTTTCCCTGAAACATTTAGGAGTGATATACCCCTGTAGTTGTTTGGGTCGGTTGCACAACCTGATTTATATAGAGGTATGGTTAGTGCAGAGTTCCAGGCATCTGGAAATATTCCAGAGTCTAATACTGAGTTAAATAGTGGCTTAAGGAAAGCAAGTAACGTCGATTGCCCAATCTTAAAAAATTCTGGAGGAATTCCATCTTCACCAGGGGATTTACCAGTTTTCAGTTTCCTAATAGCCTCAGTGGTTTCAAGTTCAGAAATATTATCAGACAACAATTGATCTATACCTGAGGAGTTCACACACTCATCACAATAATGGTTAGTTATAAAATCAGAAACATGTTGATCAAAGTCGTCATCTGTTTGAAGTTTAGATGGGTTTAAGAGATCCTTAAAATATAACTGTAGAGTATCTGGTGTTATTGGACATCCTTTGTTTTTATTCCGTAGAGAGCTTTTAAACTGTTAGAAAATGTTTTACAGTCACCATACTTAGCAACTCGACACAGATCGTCTGCTAAACGTTTTTCCAAATTGTCCCTTTTCATAGCACATATTTGTTTTAATTGAGCCTTAGATTCCACATACTTATCAAGGTTTTTCTTACACTCACATCTTCGGAATAAATTCAAGCTTCTGTATTTCTCTTTTTTAAGTTCCGCACATTCACTATCAAACCATAATGGTTGTTTTCTAGTACTCTTCATTTCTGACACACAAAATCCCCCGGCTGCACATGCACATGTAATAAGAAAATCATTCAGTTTTACTACAGCAAGATTTATATCAGTCTGTAACATAGCAAGAAAGTCGTCCAGTGCGCTAGGTGATCGCAGAAGTTCTTTGTAAGTAGATGAAGCTGGTTCTGGTAACCTATATCTGGGAACAATAGTTAGATTTATACTACTTTTGGGTGCTGAAACGTCATTGAATACTGTCTACAGAGTACACAATACCGGCATATGGTCAGATTCAACACGGTCACATATTTTTAGATCCACAACCTTATGAAATAATTGACTATAGACTAGGAAATAATCTACTATGCTTGTTCCCATATGAGAAATAAATGTGAGTTTACTGGGTGTGTCAGACTCAGTACGTCCATTTACTACATGTACATTAAATAATTTACATAGGTCCAATAACTGTATTCCGTATACGTTTATATCGGAATCATAGGATTCTCTGGGTACACAAAAAGAGTCAGTTTTATAATCATCTGGTAGAGGTAGGTATTCTGGGTTGTCATCAGTAATGAAGTCGTCCATATTACTTGTCCGAGCGTTGAAGCCGCCACTAAGTATAAATAGAGAAGCGTCACTAAAATCGTTGTCAATTCTGGTGAGTTTTTTCTCAACGAAGTCAATACCGTTTTCCTCTGCACCATTATAGAATGGTGATTTGTCAGGGTGTACATATACAAATCCAAGGAAAGTATGTTCAACAGTAGAATCATTGAGAACTTTTAGGAACACACAGTTTTGCCACTTGTCATAGACTCTTATACATGATGATGCTAACTGTTTTTAACACACACAACAAAAACACCAGAATGTCTACCATACTTTGATAGCTTAATAGGATCACAGATAAAACATTTATAGTCAGGTCATTTATTCATCAGTTACATACCTATCAACATAACCACACAACAAATCCAGAAATGACTCTTAAGTGTATCTGATATTTCTAATGTTCAGATGAGTTGAAACCAAACACAAGGTTCACCACTTTTTGCATACATGTCTGCGGTCTGTTAGACAGTTGATAGCTGTATTGCATCCCCTAGAATCCAGTTTTGGTCGGTTTTGTGGAACGTATGTCTGACAGTTACCATCGAGTTACTCTTCATTGTAACTTCATTTTGGATCGCATAAACAGCAAAATAAACGACATGGCCTTCAGTGCCTCCAGGCATATATTGTTGCTATACCGTTACTTATTGTGTATCTTTAACAGCATATAAATGTGACACGTGGGTCGATATGGCAACGTCAAAAGACGCCTTCCTAATGGTCCGTCTACAAGTATTTTGAAGTATGTAGATCTTTTCTACGTAATCAACATGGAAACGGCATTATAATTAGCAACTGAAGCTATTACAAAGAAGCTTATCAATGAGAAGAGAGCAATTTCACTTTGATATTATATGGTATAAAATTATTATAAAATTTGATACATTATTCAACAATGGCAACGTTAATGCCTAAAGAAAACGATTATAGCTAGAAAATGCTGGGACTGCGTTAAACATCAAACAAACAAACTTGGGATCTGTAAAAGTCGTGTCTTCATCTGTAGTCATTTTTCTCATTATTGTATCATCAATCCATCAGTCATCATCTGACAGACCATACAATTAGATGTATAATTAACAAAATTCAAACGAAAGTAGCCTTTCATTTCAGATCAGCACTTATAATTAAAACTTAACTGTCCTATCTTAAAGACCCTAAAAGTAAAGAATTATGTACCTCCGTCAACGAACGAGCTGATAACATAGCTCGTGCTTACATGTACCAGGAAATGGGCCATATTACACACTATTTATCGGGGATTACCCAAGGCGACATTTTATAATATGGCGTTATTGTCATATATGTATGTGTTCAATGGCATCTAAAATAAATTTGCAGCTTGGTAGATTTTAATACTTTAGGTCATCCTTTATCACAAATGCGTGACCAAAATTCTACTTGACAGGAAAGTATTGTTATTCAAACTATAAAGAGCGACAGGCGAAATCAATCCCCGACCGAAAAACATCGCCAATGAGGTGTCATTTCACCCGAGCGTGTTGATAGGTAAGACTATAGAGCACTTGGCTTTTGACAGGAGATCAAACCTCAATTAATTGGATCACGGCATCCAGATCGGGACAAATTCATTCAGAGCCGTGTCTGCAGATACGTCATCGGAGTCGGAAGATATATCCCTACAGATGCTGTAGTTGGTGACCTTGGATGGGTACCCGTCAGTATAGAACAGAAGGTTGCATCTGTTCGGCGTTGCAGAGCTGTGTGTTGATGAACAAATCGCGTTTAAACAGAAACATTTTCACGTGGGCAGACAAACGTTCCTCACCAGCGTACAAGAACAGGAATTATAAAGTTCACAAGTTATTCAGAGAATGCAACTGTGAGTGTAACATTGACTATGTAATTCAAGATAATGTAAACAAAATTAAAGACACTCTAATAGAAAATCACAAGGCAGCGTGGAACCACAGAATAAGCGGTATCGGAAAACTGAGAAAAATTTAAGACTTTTCAAAGGGAGTATTGTACCGAACAATCTGTAATCTCGATTATGCCTGGAAACTACAGAAGTGCTTTTGTAAAATTTAGATGTGTGGTAGCAGCAGTCCGACTTGGAACTGGACGATATGAAAATCTCGCAGTTGAAGGTAGACTGTGTCTTATGTGCCAATATAATTGTGTTGAAGACGAGACACATGTAAATAAATTCTTAAATGTCTTATACATGATGATATGAGAAGGGCTCTTTTAATTGAGGCTGCCATCGTATGCAATTCGTTTGATATGTTGTAAATCACAGGGAGGCTTTCCATGCTTTTTAATCAAAATGAGCTGATTGTATTGTGTGGCCCAAACCTGTTTATAGTGTTTCCCCCAGGCATATTTGGCAGGGCGCAGCGCCCTGCCCATTTTTATTCAGCGCCCTGCCCTTTTTATTTAGCGCCCTGCCCTTTTCATTTAGCGCTTTGCCCTTTTGAATCACCGTATTATCTGCCCTTTGAAAAATCCAATATTTTCCGGATTTTGATAAAGGCAGGAGTTAGCTCCCTTCCCGGATGTTTTTGTTGTGCAATAAAACTAACTATATAAGTCATGGCGATTTCGGCTTTGTTCATTTTCATTCTGATTCACAATGCCAACCAAAGAAAGAACACAGAGGGAAAGAGAAGAAGCTGTGAAGGCTGAAGCAAGGAAGTGTCGTCGACTCCTGGATTTCTTCGCGCCAAACAGGTACGACTTGACAATGACTTCCGCCATTTTGAATGGATAGCGGCAAAATTAGAAGACATTTCCAGCAATAACCTAGGTTCATGTGATCTCTTTATAGCTAATTAAACATGCCCATTCTGTTTCTGTTATGTTTAAGAATCTTTGCTTTAAATACTTTACGTCCATATCTTATTTTAGTCTTTTTGTGAGGAGAAATTAAAAACGAATGAAACAAAGGGAAGCCATATCGGACATGATCACTTCAGATTATTCCGAAGTTTTTCTTTTCCTTTTCCTTTTCAATGCTTGTCTCGAGTATTTAAAACACCCCGGTGATTGTTATCCTCTCTAATATTACGATTGTGAATAGATTCTAATATGTTTTTTTACTTTTAATTTCTCCCTGTTCAGTCGACGTCGCTCTGAAAGAAATCTTTCGGAAGCACGTATTTTTCATTTCGATTTTCTAGATATACACAAAACCCTCTCGTTTGCTATAGTTAATATTTGCACTGGGTATATCTGTTGAAATTTTATTTACTCTTTGCAAATGTACGAATTACCGGAGTAATAATTCCACACGAAATAGATACAGGAATCGAAGCCCCATCAAACATGTCTATTTCTGAACGTATCTAAGTTATTTTTTGCACTGCATACATGTAGTTTTTCATATTCTAAAATATCGGTAGAAATACTAAATTAATTTTTCTATATATACTTAATTTGAAGTTAGTAGATTAGGGGTGGATAAGGTGTCTGCAATGAACAAAGACAATTTTTACCTGTCTCCATATCTAGTCTTAAAGTTTTTCAAAATTATAAATAATTGTTCCAAACTTTTGTTTATATTTATCTGATATTTTACCCTAAATTACCCTCAACTGAAATGTTTTTTTCTGTGTGTGAAAAAGTACTTTCATTAGTACAAGGTATTTTACTATTCATATTTTCTTAATATTCAAAGGATGTTTTCTTATTACCAATTTACAAAATACAATAAATTTTGTCTGGAAATAAAACTGACTTGTATGTATATTTCAGACCCGATGTAGAAGATTCAGAACTTGTTTGCTATGACATTGACAAGTGGTTGTCATCCAGTGGCCCAGCTCCTCAAACAACTCAGAAGAAGAAAGATGCAGGTCACAAGCTTGTCTTCGATACCAAGTGGAAACAAGGTCGCCCCCGTGTGGCCAAGTTCTTGGCACGAAAGAAGAGGAGAATATGAACGAATAATTTTATGAACTTACATCAAAGCATGCCAAACAGACCCAAATGATGTCAGCCACAGTAAATTACTGAACCTTAATTGTTGTGCTTTTTTGTTTGCTGAATGCACTTTTGAATTTTAAAGTGCCCTTTTTTCTCTGAGTCTACCCTGCCCTTTCATAATCCTGGGGGAAACACTAGTTTAGTAATCTTCAACCAACCACCCAGCTCACAAGAATGGACACACTTTAGACTTATTGATTACAAGGGCCAATGAAATAAATGTTTATGATTTCATCTATGACCATTCTGTTCATTTCGACCATGTTGGTTTACTCTGCTCCACAAATCTTCACAATCCCCAACGATCAACCATTCGAATCAAGTGCCGAAAATGGAAGGATATCGATATTGATTCCTTCACAGCCGATGTAAAGTCATCACTCGATTCAGTAACGTCAGACTCATTGCCGGATGCAGTTAACACCTACAACCAAGCTCTCACTGACATACTGGATAAGCATGCTCCACAAACAACAAGGACAGTACATACGCAAACAAAGTGTCTGGTACAATGGCGGCATTAGATCAGCCAAGCAAAAGCGACGGAAACTGGAGAGGAAACGAGGAAAACACAGCTGACTATTGACCGTCAGATACATGAACAACGCAACAAAGTGAACAAACTAATTGAAGATGCAAAGAGAAATTACTTCACATCCAAATTGAATGAGGCAAAAAATCAAAAAGAAGTTTTCCAGGTTGGAAACCAGTGTGTGCTCTTCAAGAACAAACAACGAGCACTTCCTTCTCATTCATCAACTGAGAAGTAAGCCTCTTCCTTCATCAGTTTCTTCACGGACAAGATTCTCAACATCAGAAACATCTTGAGTACATCTTGCGACCAATGTGCGTGTAATGCAGCTCGTGAGGAGCACTTGACATGCTTGCACCAACCACTGAGAAAGATATCAGCATTTTAATTGCAAAAAGTCCAACTAAATCGTGTTCTTTCTTTCTTTTTGCACATTTTAGTATGTATATATCAGAGAGAGAGAGATATAGAGCTGGTGACAGGAAAAGCTCTGTAGTGAATTAAGTTATTAATATACTTTTTTGATTATTTCCATGAAAAATGAAAAATAAAATTATTAGTTTGCATATATGAATTGTTTTGTGTGAAGACATAGTGTAACAAAACGAGCAAAATACATATGTGCGTCTGATGTATGACGTAAGGATGAGCACACAAAATAACATTTGGAGTTTTGATATTCTTAACAAAATGGTAATCATATTTAGCTATAGATTATCAATGATCTATCCATCAATGAAGATGCTCCAGCAAGGGACTCTCTGTCGGTTTCCCTGATGTCTGCCTGTCAGTTTCATTGAGTTCCTGACATGTATTCAACGTCTTAATGTCAGCATGACATAATGCGGATCATGTCAGGGATTAGCTTAATTTTCTGAACACGATACATCCGTTCCTGCGAGCTATTATTAGAGAGCCTCTAATCTGTTAAAACGGATTTCTAATGTCATACTGATTACTTAAAGTACAGAATTGTCATTCAACTTCCATTCATATAACTTTCATCACTAAGTTGTCTTATAAGCCCAATGGAATCTTTCCGTGTTTAGTAAATAAAACACGATGTTATTTGGATCATGTTACTTGCAAAGCAGGTTCTCGCAATGTATGGATTTGAAGCCAGAATGTTCAGTGTGTCATCCCTTACGTGGTTATCTATCATTCAAAAGCAAACCAGTCCACCTGTGCTCCACTTGAGAGGGTAATTTTATTTCAATTTTAAAATGCAAAAGAGACCTTAATATATACCATGTAAATAAGAGATATATCTTCATAATAGGTATCATCCTTTGTCCATTCTACACCCAGTCTCAGCTACAGGTAAGCAACATCTCCGCTCAAGCTCCATTCAGTCATTTCAGAAATGTAACATTGTCTCTGTAACTATGCCGTAAGAGGCGACTAACGGGATCGGGTGGTCAGGCTAGCTGATGCTCATGCTGTTGATCACTGGATTGTCTGATCCAGGTTCGATTATTTACACACCGCCGCCATATAGCTGGAATGCTGCTGAGTGGGCGTAAAACTCAACTCACTCACGCACTGAAAACGATGAACTGTAAAATTATTCAACACATTTACTTAACTTCAATTGCAAATCTAAATGCGAAAAGAACGAAACACATAAGTAAATGGACTCATTTTGAAGCTGTGATTATTTCAGTGATGTGCATCCCTCCCGGCCCCTCTCCCTCCGTAATATCTTAGTGCGAACACTACAGATGCCCGATAATAAATAGAACATACTTACCCAGTATGCATTCCTGGTGTCAGAGCGGACCCAGTTCGACCAACGGGCGTCGAGAGTCGCTGTACATGAAAATCATTATTGCAATGTTAATAAGTAATAATAGGAACAATTTGAATAGTTTTCGTTTATCACATATTTGTATCAGACACCCTGTATAAACAAACATACATGTAATAACCTCGTTGTTGTTGTTGTTCATACATTTGTGACGTAGCTGTTGTTAAGAAACTTTTTGTATTACGCTGGAGACAGCAGTGTCAACAATAGGTTCTGACGACATTCAAAATTACCTAAGCAAGGATGTTGCTGACTCAGCATTACGTCACCTCCAGAAGCTATCCTACATGTTTCTTCCCCCTTTTTGTAAAAAGATTCAAGTAATTTTGAATTATAGTTATCCGGTCGTAGTTTTACCCTCAACGGATGCAGATAAGCCAGAGTCGAAGCCATAATTCTAAAATAAATTCAAACCGTCTTCGTAAGTTGATTTCAATGCGAGAATGTTTCCGAAACAGTTGGCTAATTTGCGGATGTGACGTTGCCCTGCAACAACAACAACGGTTATACCATCGCTCTATGATTAGTTTACTGGACAGTCACCGAAGGAAGCACCTCCAATGAAAGTATGGAACCATCACCAGACAAATGGCGCCACACAAAAACAATAACCTTGAAGGATTCTTCAACGCCAGAACCGACCCCTAACTCATCAACATCCCAACATCTACAAGTTCATTGGAGTCGTACAAACAATTGAGGTTGCAAACATGGCAAAAATGGCAAAGTCGACCTCGGTGCAGTAGCACATGGCCTCCAGAAAACTGAAAAATCGCTTCAGACACTTACAATTCTGTTATCACGAGGAGGTAATAGAAACGGCATTGGTCATGTACACAACGATCACCTGAATTGTTACAGATTACTACATGAAGATATTTGTGTTGCTCTTGCAATTCTGTTCGTTCTCCCGCCGCCATATAGCTGGGATATTGTTGAGTGCGGTGTAAAACTAAACTCACTCACTCACTCTGTTCGTTCTCACGGGAAGGTAAAAAGAAGGGTATTAATCATGTACTCAACCCTCGCCTGTGTTGTGAGGTGTTTGACAACTGACGTGTGACCAATGGGAATGATACCATTCGATCACACTCATCGACAGTGGGGAAAGGCTGGATGGAGCTTCAAGCCAATACATACGGATGACGAACTCACTGTCTGTTGTCAATTACATGCCTTGTGACGTCTTTAATGTAACCTTCAACCGCCATACATGTCACATGAACCTTTAGATACAACATGATATACAACATAACTGCAGGAAATAAACAAGACTCGTTGCGGGGCATATTAAATCACCGATTGATTTGTCATCAACTGTCTGTTTCATTGTGTCCAGTATACCCGCATCTAACAAGTGCCTGTCACATATTAAAACATATATACACACTTTCCACATTGTATTTTCTTATACCAAGTGTTTAATTACTGCAATTTCCCCTTTTCTAAAGTGGTACGGACAGCTGCATTTAAAACTGAACGATCAAGAAAACGATATTGACTTCTCAGCGGTGCTACGGCAATGTAAGTGACCTACTGTTAGTCCCAGATTCATAGAGCTCGACAGTTTTAATTTTTGATGCTGATGTCATGTTTGCACATACAATGATAGCACTCGTTTTTAGAAAATACGAACACAGGAACAAATGCTCATGATTGTGCATACATCAACAAGAGTTTCAACCAGTTCCGGCTTGGTCGTTATAAGAGCAAGAAAATGGTACACAAGCAAACTCTTCAGGTGCAAAAGGACTACATTTTAAAAAACCTCGTTGTATTATATACTAGTACGTATATAAAACACGGGTTATTAACATTAACTGATGCTAACCGTGATGAGCCAAATACGTACTGTTCTTCTTGATACATTATATATACAATCCCAAAACACGAAGAAGCACGATAAACCAGGTACAAACAAACACTAACACACAAACACAAACACACATACCCAAACACACATACCTCATAGGCAACAAAACAAATACATACACACACTTGTGTGTATTTGTGTTGCTGCCCCTTGAGAGGTGTTCACGCCTCCTTACACATAGGCAGTAGTAAACCTTAGTGAACATCGTATGATTAGCCCTTGCTACCAGAAGATACCCACAGACTCGACAGCAATCTGGTGCATGTACTGAGTGTATTTCGAACAATGTTTGCGATCTGTCCCCCGATACTTTGAGCTAAATTACATAACACAACAGGTGGGCGAAGTAACATGTACAGATACTGTTTAGGACATGCATCCATCTTTCGCCAACACATAGTGTTAGCATTCATTTTCAGTGATCAAGTCATGAGGTTCCTTGTTGTAGTTTGTTTGTTTGCTTGTCAGGATACAATCCCAATACGTTTCTGCAATGGCAGTGAAAGGTTTAGCTTTGACAAGCATTTCCAAATAAGAATATCAGATATGACGTTTTCATCACAAGAGACGCAGCTGTACACGGGCGGCACTGGATGTAAGATTGTGGACGTAAAACGGCAAGGGCAGAAACTAGGTCTTAATATTGGCTAATGGACACACTTGCACCGACATGATGTATGTTGTAGATTCCATTGTAGCTTTCTCACAAACTGCATCCTTCCCATTAGATCATAATATTGCTATTCAAAGGGAATGAATGAATGAATGAATGTGTTTATTTCCTCCAGATACATTATTTACAATACATCACTCGCATTATTTCAGTGTAAAAAAATGAAAGCTTGTTATATGCTGCACTACTCTTTATTCCAAATGTACAATGTACAGCTTGTGAGCAGTAGGGCGATTGTGTTTTGTAAATGGT